TCAAAGTGATAAAAAAAAAATGTTTGTATTTTCTAGATCAGTGGTCGGCAAACTGTGGCTCTCGAGCCACATGTGGCTGTTTGGCTCTTCCACAAAATACCATGTGCGGGCGCACACGTACAGTGCGATTGAAACTTCGTGGCCCATGCGCAGAAGTCGGTTTTTGGCTCTCAAAAGCAATTTCAATCCTTGTACTGTTGATATTTGGCTCTGTTGACTGATGAGTTTGCCGACCACTGTCCTAGATCATCTCTACCTAATAGGAATGCAAATTTATTTTAAGCTTTAAAAAGGCTGTGGTACATTTGAGATGGGACAAACAATGGGTCCATGCTGCCTGATACTACTCAGGCCAATGAAGCAAAGACAGAGTTGAATCATATATGAACATTTATTCCAATACTGCCCACAGAATGGGAGAGCAGCAGGTCAGCCACAGAAATCTGTTCTGCAGCCCCCCAGAAGCCAGCTGCTTATATAAGTAGAACTACAAAGGAAGAGTAGGCAAAAGGGCAGTTACAGATATGCAAAAGGACTAGGGGCCTTCAAAGGGCTTAGTGATATGCAAGGGCTGGGAAATAGCCAAAGGGAGTGCCAGATGGGCAGTTAACAGGTAAGCAGGCTGGAGGTTTGCAAAGGCCTGCAGGTTTGCAAGAGGGCTGGGGGATCTTCAAAGGGCTGTAAATTGGTGAAAGAGAGGAAGAGAAAAAAGAAGGAAACTGTTTTTAAATTTAAAAAAAATTTTAGGTATATTTTTATTGATTTCAGAGAAGAAGGGAGAGAGAGAGAGATAGAAACATTAATGATGAGAAAGAATAATTGATTGGCTGCCTCCTGCATGCCCACACTAGAGATCAAGCTTGCAACCCAGGTATGTGCCCTTGATCAGAATCAAACCCCAGGACCCTTCAATCTGCAGGCTGGTGCTCTATTCACTGAGCCAAACTGGTTAGGGCCGGTTCATAGTTCTTAACTCATATCACTGTGAGAAACAACTTTAGAGTACAGTATTTATTGTGCACACAATTCCATTTTTCTTTTTTAAAGACTAGTTTATTGATTTTTAGAGACAAGAAGGGAAAAGAGAGAAACATCGATATGAGAGCCCTAACATCCATCAGCTGCCTCCTGCACCCTCTTTCCCCCCCAAACTGGGGATTGAGCCAGCAACCTGGGCATGTGCTCTGACTGGGAATCAAACCAGGAACTTCTTGATGCATGGGACAAGGCCCAGCCAACTGAGCTACACCGGCCAGGGCAATTCTCTTTTTCTTTAGCCTTACAGTTTCTAGTCAACACAACTTTTTCCTTTTTTTCTTTTCTTAGTTTATCTTCATTTTCTTCCCCCTACTCCTTTTAACATAACCCCCTTTTAAAATTATTTTCTGCCCATCTGGCTTAGAAAAAATGCCAGATGTTGGTTTGTCAATGAACTTTTGAGCCATGAAGTTTGACTCAAGTCAGTGTAGACCTGCAAGAGCATTTTGCTAAATAAATGAGTTCTCTAGATGGTTTTTGTAAAATGGTAAAATCAATTTTCCACATATATTTACAACTAGAGGCCTGGTGTACAAAAATTTGTGCACTCGGAGGGGGAGGGGGCCCCTCCGCCTGGCCTGCCCCTCTCACAGTCCAGGACTCCTCAGGGAATGTCCACCTGCCAGCTTAAGCCCACTCCCCTGGGTGATTGGGCCTAAGCTGGCAGTCAGACATCCCTCAGGGGATGTCCAACTGATGGCTTAGGCCCACTCCCCAGAGGGAGAGGCCTAAGCTAGCAGTTGGACATCCTTAGTGACTTAGGATGAGGCTCCTGTCATTGACGCTGCATTGCAGCCATCAGCCTGGCTTGTGGCTGAGCAGAGCTCCCCCTGTGGGAGTGCACTGATCACCAGGGGGTAGCACCTCCATTGAGGGCCTGCTTCCTGGGGGTCAGTATGCATCATAGTGACTGGTCATCCTGGTGGTTCAGCCCTTAGGTTCAATTTACATATTACCCTTTTATTATATAGGATTATACAAGTCATCCTTGCTTTTTCTGGAAAATGTGGAAATCGTTATACTATAGCAAGGTGTAAGGAGCAAAATGGGAAGACTTCCTAAGCTCACTAAAGAGAGCTACTTCCTCCACATTTCCAATAACATGTATCACTTTATGTCACCTGTCTCCTGTAGTTAAAAACAGTTTTTAACCCCTAAAATGAGTCTGGGGGAGGGGAGAAATGTCAGTCAATTGCGATCTGGAAAAAAACGTAGTTTCTCTTGAGAGAGTAAGGGATTGAAAAAGATGAGATGTGCTTGAAGACAGCGATTGAAGTGAAAATCACCACCTTCCCGTGTCTGCCTTACATCTGGGTGGTTGCGATCTGCGATTTCCCCTTTGCTTAAACCTTTTCTCCCAGAACACCCCACCCTCTTCCTCCAGGCACGTTCGCTTTGCATGCTATAGGAACTCAAGAAATACTGGCCATGTATTTGAAAAGTACACCTAAGCCAGCCTTGAAAATAATTCATTTTTTCCTTAATTTCAGAGAGCTATTTTTATTTGGCAATAAACACTTTCTTCGGTTTGTGAATCATGAATCATTTTATGGTCGGCCCACATTTCACATGCTGATGGTGCTCTTCCCGCCTCCAAAGCCCTTGATGGGGCGAGTGAGCTGAGCCTTGTGTCCTGCACGCATCCACGTTCTGGGGCCCCACCCAAGGGCTGCTCGGTGCCTCCTCCGCCCACGTTATTGGCCAAAGGAGGTACTTCGGTGTCTTTAACAGCAAATCCCTCTTAAAGGAAGAACGCCAAGAGGGACTTTTTGCCAGAGGCAGAAAACCTTTCTCCTCCCTTGCTTCCAATCCATCACTTTACACAAAGGGTGATTTAACAGGGAATAGCTAATAAAACTTTTTTGCTTTAGATTTGTTTTTCTTCCCAAGGGAACAGAAATTGGGCCATATACAGCCATTCTGTCTGATGGACTGACTGTCCTAAAGACGTCCCCTCCCTAAGCCCAGTTTCCTTTCAGGGTGACCCCCTCGCAGCATTGTCAGGCTGGGCTGGTGCAGTGCTTGGGGCTTAGTCCATCTCTCGTCTGGGTTGTATGTCTGTCTTCGTATCAGTGGGAGAGCTACAGGGAGGCTGAAGAAACAGCCTGGTTAGCAGGGCACTCAGGCATTGGTGACACTGGCAGGGCCACCCTGTTCATGGGCAGGTTGTTTCTGCACAAGGCAGGTGACTTTGTGTGTGTGTGTGTGTGTGTGTGTGTGTGTGTGTGTGTGGTGGGGGCGGGGGAGGAATGGGGGGGTAAGGGTGTGTGGGTGTGCTTTCTTGCACCCTGGGCCGGGACTGTGTATTATATGAATTTCCTAAGGCTGCTATAACAAGCTACTACCAACTGGGTGACTTAAAACAACAGCAATCTGTTCTCTCAGAGTTCTGGAGGATAGCAGTCCAAATTCAAGATGTCAGCCAGGTTCCGGAGGCTCAGAGGGAGAATTTGGCCCATTACTCTCTCCCCGCTCCCAGTGGTTGCCTGGAATCCTTGGCATTCCTTGGCTTGTGGCAGCTCCAGTCTCTACCTTGCTCCTCACATGATCTCTTCTCTGTGTGCGTGTTTCTTCTCTTTTTATAGACACTGGCCACATTGGACTTAGGGTCCATCCTAAGTCAGTATGACCTCATTTTAACTAACTACATCTTCAAAGAGCTTATTTCCAAACTAGATCACATTCTGAGGTTCCTGTTAAATATAAAAGTTGAAAAGGGATATTAGTCAACCCAGTACAGGCTGCATCAACCCGGGGGAGAAGATGCCTTTTCAAAATTTGCCATTGGTTCTGCCTGCTTGCCGCACTGTATCCTCTGCTTTTTCTCTCATTTGAACAAAGGTGTAATATGGGCTAGCAGGGCCCAGGTAACGTGGAAGCAGTCAGCTATGAAGGATCCATTAGTGTGCAGCCCTCCTCAACCAGCGACCCTGTCTGATGCCTTTTTGGGAACTGTCAGAGCTTGTATGGTAGATAATGAATTCTCCAAAATGTATATTGCAAAGACAGTAAAGGAGATTTAAAATAAAACTTCTGATTCCCGCGGTTACACCAAACTTAAGAAACAAAAGCAAAGACAAAAAACAAGTGAGTAGTTCTTAACCCATTTCATTCCACATGTTTCTGTTTCTCTGGTGGTTTGGAAAACCCTCTTGGACTGTCATGGGTTAAGTGAAGTAAGCTCTCCCTTATCACTGAGTCATACAGTGTTTCTCAAAGTGTGCTTCATGGAATATTAGCCCCATAAAAAGTGTTCAGGAGAAAAGGGCTTTGTGGTCAGATAAGACCAGGAAATTGTGCATTTGCTATTCTCTTCCCGGAGATAAGCAATGCACACTGGCTCTGTAAAGGTTCTGATAAGTCCTGCAGCAGAGAAGCCTATTACACTTTGTTTAATCCAGTGCATCTCAAGTTAATTTGACCACGGAGCCCCCTCCATCCCTTTTTTCTTTTTTTGTAAATGAGTAACATCTAGTTAGTGTCTAAGCAATAATCTCTGAGATCCACAGGAAAGTGGTCTAGACTATAAATGTTGGAATCAGGCTCAAATTCAAAACTTAGTTTCACTGACTTCAGACAAGCAACGGAACCTCTCTGAGCCTGAGATCCCTCAACTGCAATATGGCATTATCATGCCATTTGCTTTATAGGATTAACTGAAATTATGTAGATAAGTGTTTAGCATGGGGCTTGGATATAATAACCACTGAATACATTAAGCATGTATTTTTTTTTAAAATATATTTTATTGATTTTTGTACAGAGAGGAAGGGAGAGAGATTGAGAGCTAGAAACATCGATGAGAGAGAGTCATCCATCAGCTGCCTCTTGCACACCCCCTACTGGGGATATGCCCACAGCCAAGGTACATGCCCTTGACCGGAATCGAACCCGGGTCCCTCAGTCCCCAAGCCGACGCTCTATCCATTGAGCCAAACCGGTCTCGGCAAAGCATGTATTATTATATTATTTTTTATTTCTATTATTGTACATCCCTATGACTTCTTACATCATGTCTAGAGATCATTTGGAGGAAATGCCAATCTTGATCCTAGCCAAGTGGATGAAGTTCACAACACTGTTGTCCTTCATACAAATCTACTCTGGTAAGAAAGTCAGGGGCATTTTTCTCAGCTTCTCGGAACTCTGGAGATCGACATTCGCCAAATCCAGTCCTCCTGAAACCTGGGGATTATCTTTCACCGGCCAATCAGTTGTGATTTCTCAGGCTCCTCATAAACCAGTTATGTTCACCTGAAAGGAAAATTAAACCCAAAGTGGCAAATGAGGTTCTCCATGTCTAAAGGCATTTCCTAGTTACTGGCTTCCCTCTGGCCGCGTGGGGCCAGGGCAGGAGGGAGACAGTGTGGAACAGATCCAGGGGAAGTGACTGAAAAATCCCCGGGTCCTAGGAGCACTCACCTGTCCTTTCCGGATGCAGGTGCCACAGTAGACGTCACAGAGTCCGCTGATGACTTGGCTAAAGCAAAGCGCCGCTTCGACCACGCTGATCCCTAAGAGGATGGAGAACAAGACCACGTTCCACAGGACGATGTGCTCAGGCTTTTGGCATGTGGCCCAGCTGGGCTGGTTGAACAGATAGCTGCCCCTGCAGGAAGATGAGAAATGAGCCTGGCTTTGAGAGACAGCAAAGGGAGGGAGGTGTTACTGACTAGCACGGGAGAGGCACTAGTCTCACATGGGAGATTACAAAGCTTCATCTTCATAAAGATAGAAGCTTAATTTATTTAAAAAAATATATTTTATTGATTTTTTTTACAGAGAGAAAGGGAGAGGGATAGAGAGCTAGAAACATCGATGAGAGAGAAACATTGACCAGCTGCCTCCTGCACACCCCCTACCAGGGATGTGCCCGCATCCAAGGTACATGCCCTTGACCGGAATCAAACCTAGGATCTTTCAGTCCCCAGGCCGACGCTCTATCCACTGAGCCAAACCGGTTTCGGCAAGATAGAAGCTTTATTATTACTCCTTGGTGGAAAGGCTGAGCAGTCCCTTTCCCTCTGACAGCCCAGTTTCTCAGCAAGGCATTGTGGATGTAGAGATAGCTGCACAAGACAGCATATGAAGAAGCGGGAAACCTTGGGCTATAAGACTTTAACGGCTGCCATAAGGTCTCAGAGGCAGTGGAAGTGGTTAAGAGCTTGGGTGTGAAAGTCCCATAGAACCAGGCCTTAACTCCAGCTTCCTTATTAAAAAGTTCTACATAAGTTTCCTAAATGTTTTTTTTTTTAATGTATTTTATTGATTTTTTTTTACAGAGAGGAAGGAGAACGATAGTTAGAAACATCAATGAGAGAGAAACATCAACCAGCTGCCTGCTGCACACCTCCTACTGGGGATGTGCCCGCAACCAAGGTATATGACCTTGACCGGAATCGACCTGGGACCCTTCAGTTCAAGGCCGATGCTCTATCCACTGAACCACGCCAGTAAGGGCATCCTATATCTTTTTGTATATCAGATTCCTTATGTGCAAAGTGGCATTAAAAATGATGACAAGGCCCTGGCCGAATGGCTCAGTTGGTTAGAGTATCATCCTAATTTACCAAGGTTGTGGGTTCAATCCCTGGTCAAGGCACATACAGGAATCAACCAGTGAATGCATGAATAATTGGAACAATAAATTGATGTACACCCTCCTTCTCTTAAAAAAATAAAAATTAAAAATGACATCAATACCATGGAGTGATTGGGAGGATGAGATCAGGTGTTAGCACATTGCCTGCCATGCAGTAGGCATTATAGTTTATATCCTAGAAAGGGGGAGGCTAGAGATGTAGAGTAGCTGGAGAAGACTTCATACGGAAAGTTGGAGTCACTTGGCTTTGAAGGAGACAGCAGCAGAGAGGAGAGCAATGAATTATAGAGAAAAATAGCAATGAATTATAAAGAGAAATGAGCAAAAACTGTAAGGGAAATTTGGACTTACAGTGTACTAGTTGTATAAAGAGAAAGTGGAATAGGTTTTCAGGCCATATTTCATAGAGCTGTATATTACTTGACATTCCTGTCTTTATTTCTACCTTTTCCCATATCCATACACGTATCTGTTGAGTTTCCAAACTTAAACTTACGTTTAAGTTTCTTTAAACGTAAACATTTGTTGGCCTTATCAACATTTTTACATTTTATAAAAACCCTTTTGGCTAATCTATGGCAAAAGACTTGAAGGGCAAAGTGGAACTGGGATACTGTTGCTTCCTAAACCTGGTCAGGAGTTTCCCAGGAGTGACCTGAAACCAGCCCCGAAACCAGAGGAACAAAAAGACAAACCACTCCAGACTGGTAGGGGGCACGTTTCATAAGCAAGGGAATTTAGTTACAATACTTATATGGCTACAAGATGAGTAGTTTTCCATACCCACCCACCTGCCAGCATCTTAAAAGTTTTTATAGAGAGGCTCTCACTGGATTCAGTCACGCACAGTCTCCATATCACATTGCTCTCTCCAGGCTGTATCCTTGGAACAGCTTCTGGGAGTGGGGAAGGCAGTGAATGGGTATCTCAAGGACGGGGGAGGGGCCGAGGAGCCTTCAATTGGTCCTCCTTGACTGTCAATGGGTGATCACATCTTCTGGGTGAGCTCACCCAACAGGTATTTGTTGGAGGTAGATGGTGTTGGACAGTGGTCAGCAAACTGCGGCTCGAGAGCCACATGCGGCTCTTTGGCCCCTTGAGTGTGGCTCTTTCACAAAATATCACAATGCGGGTGAGCACATACAGTGTGATTGAAACTTCATGGCCCATGTGCAAAAGTCGGTTTTTGGTTCTCAAAAGAAATTTCAATTGTTGCTATTTGGCTCTTTACTGACCACTGGTGTTGGAGATTGGGAACAGGGTGATACAGACTAGGTGAAAAGCAATGCACATTCAAGATATAGTCAGGAGAGAATTGACAAGATCTGGTAATGGATTGAACATGGGAAGTTAGAGGGAGAAGAATCTAAGATAATTCACAGCTTTTAGGTGACATTTGCTAGGATGGGGATGACCAATAGGAGATTTGTGGATATAGAGTTTAGGGCATATTCATATTGAAATACTATGTGTTCAAGAGGAAATTTCAAGGAGGTAATTAACTATTTGGGTCAAGAACTCAGAAGGTTTAAGCTTGAGATAAACATTTTGGGATTATTTACATAGATAGGTGGATGATTGTGAAAGCCATGGGGATGGATGAGACCTGCCAGGGAGAGAACGTGAAATGAAAAGAGAAATGGTGTTGGGTTTCTTTCTGTATCCCTTCAGGAAAATAAATGTGCATTATCATCACAGGGTCCAGACATTACAGGTAATTTGTGTAATTCCAAACTTGGTAATTGTCTTCCCAGTTTGACTGTGAACTACTTGCCAATAGGAAAGTTGTCTCATCCTTCCTTTGCACTCCCTTCTCTTTTCACAGTGCCTAGCAAGTACTAAGCAGACCCTCAGCATATACTCAGTTAAGTTTAATAACTAGGGCTAATGAAATCAGGTATTAATTATATTGAATATCTTGAGTGGACTGCTTAATTCATCGGCACTTCACCCCTTGGCCAATCACCTCCTAGAGATTATAGATTTGGAAGCAGGTGTGGAGAGAGGAACAAGACACCAGGTATGGATGAAAGCACTTGGTCCCTTGGTCAATACTGAGAGCACATACTCTTTACTCTTTGTGGCCATCAGCTGTCATTAGATGTTAGACACTGACCCCAGACCATGAATGCTACTCACTCCAGGCTGTCATTCCTGAAAGGGTAGGTGTAGTTTCCACTGCCTGTGTCACAGAAGGGGCCACTGAGCAAACCCAGGGAAGAAATGACCACACAGTACACAGCCCCCATCGTGCCCTGTATGGCCAGAAGCACAGGCAACAGCATCTGCAATGGAACAGAGTCAGAAATTCAGTACAGCAATGGCAAGGACGGTGGGTGGGAAGCCAGCTTTTTATAGATGCAGCCCCTGAGTTTTCTGGCAAATTGCAAAGGATCCAAATCTTTTCTTGCAGATGCTAGGCCAGGTCGGTGTCCTTGTTTTGCTTCCCAAGTGTACAAAATGAATGCTGGAGGTAAGACACCCTCTGTCCATTGATCTACTCCAGTTACAATTCTAAAGAATGAAATGATCCACTACTATTTGGCATCCTGGTGCTCGGTGTTCAGTACGTGTTCGGTGTATGGCTAAGTGAGTAAATGAAGAATCATTTTTCTAAAGCCCGAGTCAGTGACCAATTGAAGGGCTGTGCTATGTACAAACTCCATAAATATCTGCTGACTGGGTGGATGGGTGAGGGAGTGTCATAGTGAGGCAAGTGTCGAGGGAAGGTGGCATATTAGCACATTAATGAATTGGGGCGAAGCTGATGAACTTGTTTGCTTCAAAGCATGAGCTTTTATCCATGACACATCCATGTTGTGTCCCTCTCACCACAGGGAGTAAGGCAGGGGGACAGCAGGAGCAGAAAGGAATGACTCTGGGAGCTCCTTGGAGATGGTCCTCAGGCGACATGGGGCTAAGATCTCTGCGGACGGTCTGATTGGAAGCTGCATGGGTTGGGGCAGGGACTTTTGAAGCAGAAAAGAGAAATGAGATGGTGTGTAAACTAGGAACATAAAAGCAATAGACAGTTTGCTGTGATCAGGGACAAGATCAAGAACAAGAAATAAACTCATAATGGAAGAACTTATAGAGTGGCAGCTTTTGTTCTTCACAGGACATTTTGAGAGAATTCCTGTGAAAGTGTTTCTGAGAGTACAATCTGCAACGTCCCTTCTTGCTTGAATCCCATTTCTGTGATGTGTTACTCCATTGGCTACCAGGGGATAGGAAAGTTAAAGGATGTGAGGGTCCTAGACCTCCCCACAGACAGACAGGCAGACAGATAGAAGTGCAAACAACCAATGTTAGCAGATTGGTCTACCAGAGCTTTGTGTTCAATGCAAATGACTCTCGTCACATATTTTCTAGGTTCGTTTTTCCTGGGATCTCTTTTGGCTAGAGCCCTGCATAATATCACCATGTTCCAAAGGGGCATTGGTCTAAAAGCACATGGCCTAGGGAATAAGCCCTTGGGGGAGGGGTGGGTAGGTAGGAAGTTAAACATTCTGTAGAATCCACAGAACTTACCCCACATCTGTGGACATAGCAGCCTCCTCCACCTCCTCTCAACAGCATTAGTGCTGGCACCATAACCTGTGGCAACAATATAAATGAAAATTCAAACTCTTGTAATGAAGGGAAGGTTACCCTTTTGGAACAAGGTTTTGATTGTGTCTCTAGCTATCAAAAATGTCCAATGATTCCTCGTTGCCTGTGGAATACGACACAGGCCCTGACTTGGTGTACGCGAGCCCTTTGTGGCTTCACTTCTCCTCCATCATTCAGACCTCCTGACACACCAGTTTACGGCCTCCTGAGGTGGACCCAGGACTTTCCTGTCGCGGGGCCTTGAATAGGCCTTTCCCCCTTGGCCATCAGGTAGACTCCTCTTCACCCTCAAAGGGTCCGTTTAGAAGCTGTCTCCTGTGGTAGGCTGAAAAATGCCCCTCTCCAAACCCTAATGGTATCTTCACTTCCTAATCCTGGGACCTGTGAATAGTACCTTCTATGACTAACGATGTGGTTAAATTGGGGTCTCACTAGGAGTTTACCTTGGGTGGGGCCTATATACGATCGTATGCAGGGAGAGTTTTGAGAGACCAGCACCCAGAGGAGAAGGCAGAGGCAGAGGCTGTGAAGATGGAGTGATGGAACCGCAAGTCAAGGAATGCCAGCAGCCACCAGAAAAGGCAGGGAGTGGATTTCCCCTAGAGCACAGAACATGGGGCGGTGCCTTCATTTCATGAGAACTCTGGCTTTAAGAACTGTGAGGGAATGCATTGCTGATGTTTCAAGCCACCAGGTTTACGGTAATTGATTCTAGCAGCTGTGAGACACCACATGCTCTCTTTGCAGTTTTCAGTGACCTCCCGCCCTCTCTTTGCCCTTCCCCTGCAGCTAAAGTGAATAACTCCTTCCTTCCCACCACTCTGTCCTGTTGCCCTGAGCACACTGCATCCTCCTTCTCCCCCTGGGCTCTGGGCTCTGAGCTCTGGGGTGAGGGGGGGGGGGCAGTAGCTGTTGCCCCAGTGCCGGACACAGTACCAGACCCAAGGACATGGTGGTAAAATTTGTAATGATCTTCCCCCTGTTTCTTCTGGCAGTATGGGATGGGAGAAAGGACACTGGCATGTTAAGGCCAAGAGCCAGGAACAGGAAATAAATACACAATGGATGAACTTAACTTTATGGAAAAAAAAAAAAATCACCTCACCCGAGAAAGGGTTGGTAATGTGTTTGCTGATGCAAACATCTGAGAGATCCCCAGTCTCCTGTCCTCATCAATGTGACTAAGACATACCTTAGGGAAAATATGATTGGTATGTGGTTGATGCTAAAGATGGTAGCCTGGGGCTGGGTGTGGGGGGGATGGGGGTGCAAACTCACATTACTTTAGAGTAGGGGTGTCGAACTCAATCAGAGAAAGGGCCAAAATCTAAAATCCAGCCTAAATCGCGGGCCGAATGGTTTAACTGAACAGTCATAAACTGTCATTGTGATGGAAACGCAGCGGAGTGCAGTGATGACAGCGCGGTGCGGGCCACATTGCAAGGCCTGGAGGGACGGATTTGGCCCTCGGGCCTTGTGTTTGACACATGTGCTTTAGAGGCTTGTAATTTTAAGTAAAAAATATATGTCCTGGTATAAAGTATTATGGAGTGGTGGGGATGTGGAGAACTGGAGAGCACATTCCCCTCTCCAGAGTATCCAAGTCACTGTAAAGTAGAACATGCAGACACTGCACCAAACTCCCAGCTGGTGTGCAAGTTTTGACGTTCTTCTTTTTTTTTTTTTTTTTTTTTAAATATATTTTATTGATTTTTTACAGAGAGGAAGGGAGAGAGATAGAGAGCTAGAAATGTCAATGAGAGAAACATCGACCAGCTGCCTCCTGTACACCCCCCACCGGGGATGTGCCCGCAACCAATGTACATGCCCTTGATCAGAATTGAACCTGGGACCTTTCAGTCCGCAAACCGATGCTCTACCACTGAGCCAAACTGGCTTCGGCAAGTTTTGACGTCTTGATGAGAGCTGGGGCAGTTCCATGGCACCCAGTAAAAGGAGAGCCACAGGATTTGGCAGTGTGTAATCACAGTGCTGGAGAAGAGTGCGCTGAGTTTGCCTGATTATCAGCTCTCTCTTTGTAGTGGAAGTGAGCAGATCCAACTCCATAACCCTAAGTACGAGGATGGTTTGACCTCCCCTTGCTCTGATTGTCTTATGGCTGACATTGAATGGGCGCTAGCCACAAGCCAGACTTGACCCTCTACATGATCTCATACAGTGCTCACCATCACCGTGGGAGATGGTTATTATTGATATCCCCATGTTACGGAGACTTCAGACAGATGCGGTACTGTGCCTAACATCTCACAGCTCAAGTACACCCTCTTCTCTCCAACCCCATGGCCACTGCCTTAGTTTGCCCTAGAGCTGGGCTCATAGGAAGACATAGAACGGCACTAAAGACTGACTGAACAAAAAAGAAGAGAAAGAAAAGGAAAAAAAAAAAAGAGAGAGAGACTGGCTTTCTGTTTTTCACTTTTTGCAGCCATTTTCCCAGGAGAACTCGGAGGTTTTGTTGGAAAGCTGGAGCCAGGGGTTGGACTAACCCGCTGGTGTTAAGGGGTGCTGTGGAGACAGGGTGTCAGGTCCCTGATTGAGCTGGGCTCCCTGTTTTCCTCCTGATCAGAGGATGCTTCCCCTCTGAGTCATTCTCCTCAAATACAGGTTCTGAGATTCTGCTTTCAGGAAACCCAGGTCTCAAGCTGCTCGATTCCTTTCAATAGTCGCTGTACCCGCTCATTTGTATTTTGAGGGAAGTTGGGCACTGATGTTCCTATGCGTTCTACAGTTGAAGAGGGTGAGTTTAGGAATTTGCCTGGTGATGGAGCTGAGAAATGCAAACCTATCCTGGAGAAAGAAGCAGCGAAGGTCAGAGGCAGGAGACAGGCACTGGTTGGACCCACAGAGAAGGAAGAGGAGCTGGGAATCCAAGCCAGGAAAGGGGACAGCTCTCATTTCACTGGCTGCCGGGATTGGGGACACTCTGCAGACATGGTCTCATTTAGTGTCTCCACCCTGTTGTGGATGGTGTGGATTTTCCTTTCACTGCAGCTCAGGGAGGTTGCCCAGCAGCTCAGGGCAGACTCATCTTCTGAGCAGGGCTGGTTAGACTCCTGCGTCCGCGCTGCCCATAAGGAAGGGCTCTGAGCTGAGAATAGACAACCTTGGCCCAGGAATTGCTGGTTTCGATGTTCTCTTGTGCAGGGAGGGGTGGGTGGTCAGTGGATGCAACTCGAGACATCACTGCATCTAATACTGTGTGGGGAGAAGGAGCAGGAAGGGAGATGGTCACCTTTTTCTGAGGCTTCCTTTTGCCCAGGTATTCATTCATTTACGGAACACTTAGTGCCTGGCACTGGGGCCTCGAATAATGAAATGATCTTTTCAAAAGGGACTTCTGGGAGAGGAGGAGCCAAACAAAAACAAAGGCGGAAAGGAAGGAAAACACACAATGTCTGCTTCAGGGGCTAACAAAGTACAAACTGTGGGCTAATCCAGCAAGTTGCCTGCTTAATGAATAAAGTTTTACTGTAATATAGCCACACCCATTTGCTTACACATTGCCTATGGCTGTGTTTGTCCTATGATGACAGAGCTTGAGTCGTTGAAACAAGAAACCACATTGCTTGCAAAGCTAGAAATATTTACCACCTGGCTTTTCACTAAAATAGTTTGCTTAATCCCATAATTTTGTGTAGGGAAGCCTGGATGGGAGTGACATAATTTATATTTCAAGGTGATCATCTTAAAACCAGATGAACTTGACAAATACTCAGTTATTGAGCTTTTTATAAAGTGCATCTTTCATGCAATTAGCAGCCACATATTAAGCTCTTGTCTCAGTCAGCACTTTGCTAGGTAGGTTCTCAGTGGGCAAAGTTAACAAGATTTGGACTCTATTCTGGAGGAGGTCACAGCCCAATGGGGGAAGCAGAGACATATAATAAAAAGATGCTTGCAGCATGATATGTTGGGAACAATGTGGAAACTGTTTATGTATCCTGTGTTGTGGGTACAGAGGAGGAGCAGCCAGCCATGCTCCGGGGCCCAGGAAAGGTGGCATGAAGAGGAGACAATTGCTCTGTGAGTTGCTGGGTGTTAGGGGAACCCTTCAAGAGGTAAGCTAGCTAAAACCTCATTCTTTTTATTGCTGTTGTTAATCTTCACCCGAGGATATTTTCCCATTGATTTCTAGAGAGAATGGAAGTGAGGGGGAGAGACACAGAGAGAGAAACCTCGATGTGAGAGAGACATATTCATTGGTTGCCTCCCACATGTGTCCTGACCAGGGCTGGGATAGAACCTGCAACTGAGGTATGTGCCCTTGACCAAAATCAAACCCGGGACCCTTCAGTCCATGGGATGGCGCTCTATCTACTGAGCAAACTGGCTAAGGCTAAACCTCATTCTTACCAAGAGTCCAGCTCCAAGAAAGCCATGGAAAAACCAGACCAAGTCTGTGATCTTGGCAGGCTCCAGCACCTGCCCATTGGGAAAGTACAGCAGAAGGTTGGCAATGATGGCAGTGATGGCCAAGGGCAACAGCAGCATGCCAGTGTACCTGGAGCCCGTCTCAGAGCACATAGTGGCTCCTCCCTGGAAGAGAGAGAGAGAGAAACCAGGAACCTGCTGCTCCAGCCACTGCACCTGGACAGAGGGCACCACCGCAGAGCCCCAAGAGCAGGTGCCACGCCCACCTTCCCACCTTCTCCACTGGTAGGTGGTGTGACCTGGAGGCTCAGTGTCCTCTGCAAAGCAGAGAAAAATATCGACCTCCTAGATGGTAGGGTATGGACCAAAGGAAGTAAAATCAATGTGAAAACTGCTGGCTCATACTAGATGTCCCATAGGTTTCCTTAAAGGACTGGTGGTAGAGTGGGTAGGGGAGGGGGGCGGGACTGAGGTCCTATTTAGGAAATTACTGGTATCCTGTTCTGGTTCTTTCATCCACGACAGGACTAATTCCCATAGTGATTACGAACTAGATCTGGGGTCTAAACCCTGGCTCCCCTACACAGCAGTTGTGTGATCTTGGGTAAGGTATTTAACCTCTCTCACCTCAATTTCCTCATCTGTAAAATGGGGTTGACAATAGTCCTCCTCTTGTGGGATCAGTGAGAAGATGAAAATAAGATAATATATTCAAATATTCTCATACAAGGCTCTCAGTGCATGGTAGCTGGAGAGTAAAGAACCAGGGGACTTGGAATCATCTCATTTCATTTATGTAGAAAACGTCATTTTTCACCTTCTTTGTTAGTCAAGTTTATTGAGCCTGGAGGTTTCAGAGAAGCCAGGATGGAGGCACATGGAGGGAGGGAAAGGTTCTACATCTTATTTTCCCTACACTCGCTGCTGCTAAGCAAACAGTTGATTGGTCAGGAATTCACTCGCTGGGTGAGGGCTGCAGGAGAAGCCAGTGGAATGTGACTGCGACCCGGGAAGTGTTCCAGTTTCGTGTTAGGGGGCGCTCTCCTCACACTTCTTTGAGGCATTCTCGACTCAGATTCAAGCTGAGATTGTTGACTGGCTCTTGAGTAAGTAGCTCATTCACTCCCCGGCTCTCCAGACATGGAGGCCTGGGACCGGGACTGGCCAGTCCCACAGGGGGATACCTGGCAGAAATGTGCACAGTCAGGGACCGCAACTGAGAAATGTCTGGCATTAGCTCTCTGCTCCTTGGAAGGTTCACATAGTTATTAGTGAACAATGTCTTACACAGGAAGATAATGCTTTGGGTCTTATTTCTAGCTGTTATCTAAGTCCAGGCTGCAGAAAGCTGACGCCTGAATGGAGTGCTGCCTCTGGCTCCTTTGCTTGGATGGAGGAGATTGAAACTGCTGACCTCACTCCCCAGTATGATCACTAACACCTGTGATCACAAAAATTTAACACTTGGAGGGGCATAATACTGGATGAGGTGCAACAACAACACACATCTACTTGCTCGAGGCACAGTATAGACATTATTTCATTTAATCCCCATGATGTAACAGCTAACAGCTCCACAAGGAAACAGTATTATAGAATCCAGGGTCTCCCAGAAGTAAATGTCAGATCTGATACTCAAATGTTGGTCCGCCCATTCCCACCTCTAGTTTTTCCCAGTTAGGACAGGTGAGGAGGGACTGGGAGCTCTGAGAAGCTAGGGCTGTTGAGCCTTCTTACATCCTGTAAAAGGGTACAAACCCAGCAGCCTCCTCTTTCTCCTTCGCACATGATGTCACAGCTCTTGGTGTAGTGAATACAGCTGGGCTCACCCTCTGGGAAAATTGCAGATCTTTTTAAGAGGAAGGGCAGGTGGGTGGAGACTGGGGTCACATTTGGAAAGGGGGACCATGTGGCACTCAAAGACGACACTTAATTAAACTATAAGAAGCTGGTCATTCCCTTGGGCTATGGTAGAGACTGTCGGAGATATTAAGAACTCTTACAAATCCAATCCCTTCATTTCCTGGGAAGCATAGCCCCAGGGCGTTAGAATTATTTGTTCAAGGTTATACAGCGAGGTAGTGGGAATGAAACAGCAAAAATAATCACAGTCATGCCCACGGACTTGACTTCATTTGATTCTTCAATAACCCCATTACAGAGACATCATTATAATACCCACTTTATGCATTTGTTGTTGGACACAGTCTGAAGCTCAGAGAAGCTAAGAAACTTGTCTAAGGCCACACAGCTTGTAACGGGGCAGATCGGCTTCTGAGTCTATCCAGTTCCCATAGCTTTTGGTCTCAACAGGTGGGACAAGCACAAGCCCTTGGGTTCCTTAAACACAGACTTCATTTCACATCACCTGCCTCATGCTTCCCAAATAGTCATATTCATGCCTGTCGGACGATTGTACCCCAAGATTGGGTTTGGACAGCTGGCAGCCGCACTGAGGCTTTTAGGCAGGCTGGGTAGTGCCAAGCCATGACACTAGCTTTCAACACCAATCCTGCCCATCCCTGAGCAGAAACACACAGACACACCCGTCAACCCAGTACCTGGTCAGTGGGGGTTTGGGGTGCAGGCTCGCTGGGAAGCTGCTTCTGGCCACGCCACCTTGGCCCCTCCAGGCCAGCAGCGGTAAAGGGGCCCCGCAGGCGGTAAAGGGGCCCCAGAGACTTTTCTAGCTCAGCTTCTGGAAGTTCCTGGGTGGGCTCTGGATCCTTCCACCTTTCAGGAGACACAAGGTGAACACTGAGAAGATGTCGGCGAGCAACAAGTCCCAGGCTCCCACCTCAGCACCGCGTAGATATCCGACCACAGCGTCTGCTCTTCCCCGGAGCCTTCAGAATGGGCAAGACCTTTGTATCAGAGGCCCTCTCCGGGTACTCCGCACTTTGGCAGGCTGGGTTCTGAGACACGGGGGCTCCCCTCTTCTAGTCTGTCCCCTCCTCTCTCCTGCTACCCCCTAGACTGGGCGAAGTAGCTCAGGTTCCCCCAATAAGAGCTGGCACTGCCTTCCCTGCCAGGCGGCCCCAGGGGAGGAGCCCAGCCACCCAGCCGCAAAGGCTCCCTGCGCTGGGTCACGTCTGATAACCTCTCAACAGTTTCCCTGGCGGATGTGTTTCCACGGAGCTGAGATGGAGGAGGGCGTAGGGCTGTGATTGCTCTGGCTGTTAGCGGGCAGGGCAGGCATCAGCTTTGTGTGAACATCTGTGGGAAAGGCCCAGGTTATTGACTGGGGAGGTGTGTGTGTGTGTGTGTGTGTGTGTGTGTGTGTGTGTGTGTGTGTATAGGGGGGTTGGAGCATCACCTTGTCATCCTGCAGAGGCCCTTGCTCAAGGACCGACCGAGACTGTTGATCAATCACACGTCACCTTGATGGACAGTGGGGCCTCCTGGCTGTGTTTGGTTTTCTGGCTGGGCTTGGTGTCTGAGCCAGCCAAGGAGCGGAAATGATGGTCCAGGAGGCCTTCCCTCGCTTCTCACCCATTCCTCTGGCCCTCAAGGCTGTGATATTGATGCGGCAAGAGATGGATGGAGTGTAACTGGGCAATGGGCCAGGGATCTGGTTATCTGATCCTTCAGTGAGATGAGCCCCAAACGGCCCTGCCTCGCGTCTATCTCGACTTTCGCAGTCAGTGGCCAGCGGTGGCTGCAGGAGAATGGCCTCTTTGTCTTTGGTCTGGCTGTCACCCCTTCCTGCCCATGAGAACACATTTCCCTTTAGTAATCTACCAGGTGTTATTTTCCCTCCATAGTGACCAGCAGTGTGTTACTGAACCTCTGAGAAAGTAGAATCAAGTGATTCTATAATCAGATACCAGTCTCCTGAGGTCCAACCATGTTGTAAATTATAACCTACATCTTAGCAAAGTGCTTTCCTATGCTGTGCCTAGACTGTTTTTTCCACAACCGAGGGCTGTCCACACATGTTTTTCCCCTCGGAATTCAGATGGGAACAGACGCATGGTTGAGCTGACTTTCTGATCTTGGGCTGAACCCCACACAGCCTGTCGCCTGCAGAGAGTCCCTGGACACACTGCCCATGCTAATTTCTCATGGGTGATTCTCCATCCCTTGTCTGCTGGCTGGATACAGAACTCTTAAGGGATGCTCACACCACAAGATCTTCTCGTCTCTATCTCCCATCCCCAAATTCCAAACCACAACACTCCTGACCCTGAGCTTTCCCAGGTTGAAGGACTTCACTGCATCCACAGTTCCCCGTTGCCAACTAAGTCAGGTATCACACCTGCATTTGTTGGGATGTTGACATTCCCTGTTCTGTGATCCCATCTCCTATTCTCTTGGTCTTTTCAGTTATTTTACTGTGTTTTTGGAGGGCATTTCCAGCAAGGGGCAGAGACAAACACAGGTCCAATCCTTCATGATTAAACAGCAGTCCTGTTTGACCACCTTTAGAATTGGCACTGGAGTGGCAGATGTAAAAATAACTTCAGAAATAGTGATTTTTGCATTTATTAGTTGTTATTTGTTATAGCCTGTGTAATTCATTTATCTTTAGTAAACTGGATAATAATTAAATAGGACATTGAAATTACATATAAGGTGTGGATTTTGTTTTGCCTTTTGTGTGTATGTGCATGTGTGTGTGTTTTGCTTTTATTTTAATGATTTTTTTTAAATAAAAAGGGATGGCGAGCCTTGGCTGGGTAATTCGGTTGGTTAGAGTGTTGTCTCCAGTATGCCAAGGTTGCGAGTTCCATCCCTAGTCAGGGCACATACAAGAAGCAACCAATAAATGCATAAATAAGTGGGACAACATGTCAATGTCTCTCTTACACACTCCCCCCCTCTCTCCCTCCCCACCTTCCTGCCTCTCTCTAAAAATCAATCAATAAAATTAAAATTAAAAATAATAAGAAGGGCTGATGGGAGCTTCTGGTCCAGTTTTGCCACCTGAGCTTGTTTGCTTTCATGCTGACTTGGATGCATGCCTGAGGCAGGCTGAGGCTGGCTGGCATGGCTCCTTGGTGGATGTGGCAGAGGGAACTAGGATCAGGTGGGCAGCTGAACTAGGTGAATGTTGGTTCTCTCCCACCTCTGAGGTCCCACAACTCTGTTTAATGTCCAGTTGTAACTTTTTTGCTCTTCTGATTTAAGCATGAAAGGCTAATCACCTCCATCTCTCTACTGAAGTTGATGAACAGCTTTCACATATTTTATTTTTTATTTTTATTTTTTCCCCCACGTATGTTTTAAACATGTATATATTTTGAGTCCTTTTCTGAAGATTAGATGAGAGAAATGTGTACTGAATGTTACCCTTTCTGGGCTTTAGAATATCAGAAAGCACCACAGAGTCTGGTAGACCGCGTTGTACTCATCGAGCTCCTCAAAGGGTGAGATCAGACCAGACTTCGGGGTGAGCTTAAGGAACTCCTCTGTAACCAACTATGGCCATTAGGGGGAGCCTAGACCTTGTGAGAACATGAAACGCTGGTGAGAAAAGGATTGTATAAAAAAAGCAGCAGAGCATAGATTCTCTTATTCAGTTTTTACTAATTTTACTAACCAAGAAAATATTATGCCTGGGAAACAAGATGCCTAATTCCTGAGGGTTCATGGACAAGTCCATTTACCTTACAGAGGTTCTTTTGAAACAAACTAGAGGCCTGGTGCACAAAATTCACTCACAGGTCTATTAGCCCCACCTGCACCCTCTTGAAATCCAGGACCCCTTGGGGAATGTCCAACTGTTGGTTTAGGCCTGCAGTCGGACATACCTCTTACAATACGTGACTGCTGGCTTCTAACCATTGGCCTGCCTGCCTGCCTGATTGCCCCTACACTCTGCCTGCCTGCCTCATCTCCCCTAACCACTCTGCCTGCCTGCCTGATAGCCCCTAACTGCCTCTGCTTGCTCACCTGATCACCTCTAACCACTCTGCCTGCCTGCCGGATCACCCCTAACTGACTCTGCCTTGGCCCCCACTGCTATGGTTTCGTCTAGAAGGACATCTGCAGTGACGTCTGGAAGGTTGTTTGGCTATCTGGTCTAATTAGCACATTATGCTTTTATTATTACAGATAGTTAAATTGACCACCTTTAGTAATAATTATAAACATTTATGTTGACTTTGATAACATTAGCTATAACTAATAAAGTATTTACTAACAATAACTTTTATTCATAGTAATAACGTCAGTCATTTGTTTCTTGGAGAGCAGAGAGACATGTATATGTAATGGCTCTGTCTGGGGACACTCGGAGAATTGTGATGCACTTTTTGGTGGAGTGAAGAGGTGAGCCTGAGGGCTGAGCCTCCTTCCCCAGGCTCTGTGCACCTGAGGGAGGTAGTGGCTGGGCTCCAGCGCTCAGCAAAGGCTCCACATGGACTGGGGATCTGCTCATGTTTGCTTGTCATCATTATCTTGTGTGATGAACAGAGAGTGCTCCTGAGTTTAGCTCTTTACACTAAATGAATGGGCAGACAGGGCAGCAGAGGGAGGACACCGAAGAGCTGGGAAGACAACAGCCTTTGTGTCTGTCCAGTGCACAGACACCACAGAGTTATGCTCTGTTGTGTGCCACTTACTATTCTTGCCAGGGAGACGAGGGACCCATTTCTTTTGACGTGTGGAGAAGGTGGGTTGTAGCTGACGATGTCATTAATCCAAGTGATTTCTCCACCTGGCCCAGAGTCCTTGTGTTCGGGCAAGCCAGGGAGTGTTCCTCCTTGCTCAGTAAGCTGGTAAATTGAGCAGCTGTCCCCACCCTGACTCCTGGCCTCCTTCAGGTTCCCACGAGGGCTGAGAATGCAGTGCACTCTTTTCTTGGCAAAAGGCAGAACCACGTGTATTTTCGCTCCTCCTGAGTCACCCAAGGTGATTTGACAGCTCCAATGGCTGGTGTAACTGGGATTTCTCTGGAGTCCACATGTTCATTGCATGTAGGTCCTTGACCAGATATTGGTGTCCTTTGTCAGGTTCAAGATACAACTTTGTGTTGAAAGAGGCAGTTTTGGGCGATGAACTCATAAATATGAAAATATTCTTAATAAGGAATATTTAAAAACACACACACCTAGATTCTTTTTTTAACAATATATTTTATTAATTTTTTACAGAGAAGAAGGGAGAGGGATAGAGAATTAGAAATATCGATGAGAGAGAAACATCAATCAGCTGCCTCCTGCACACTCCCTACTGGGGATGTGCCCACAACCAAAGTAATTGCCCTTGACCAGAATCAAACCTAGGACCCTTCAGTCCACAGGCTGATACTCTATCCACTGAACCAAACCAGTTAGGGCTACCCAGATTCTTACTGTAAAGTTAAAATTGGTAGAGGATTTTTTTTTTTTTTTTTTTTTTTTTTAGTAACAGATATGGCTTGATGCAACTGTTAAAGTTAGTGGAGACAAGAGAAAGAGATTTGAAAATAAAGGGGTATACTTTTCTTAAATTCAATTAGGCAAAAATAGTATCATTGAAGGGAGGAGTCCTGGCCTAAGAGAAGAAAGCTAATGACCTCAGGGAAGATTCGAGCCCAAGTCCTTCTTTCTCCTTGAAGCTTCTTTCTTTCCTTGCCCTCCTCTCTCTGGATGGTTCCCTCCCTCGGGCCAGGAACTCTCTCCACCTTGCAGGCACCATGTCCATTCTTTATTTAGGTCTCAGCTAATATATTTTACTTCCGTTGGAAGGCATTCCTGACCCATCCTGCCACATGCTCCCTACCCGCTACTTCTCCCCAGGTAATCTAGCCTGCAAACCCATGAGATCAGGAATGGGTATCATATATGAAGGCTCTAACACAGTGCCTGGTCTTTGGTGGGTACTCACTAGAGGACTACTGGGAAAGAAAGAAAGAAAGAAAGAAAGAA